CTCTGGCTAGTTAAATTTATATAATTTTGGGGTCGATGGCCAAGAATTAAAACCAAAGTTTTTGGATTTCCCAGAGACGACCGTTTCAGTCTAACAATCAAATCGAAACGAAAAGTCAGCGCTTAGATTCAGCCTGTCGAATTTATGAAAATGACGACGCTACCAGTTTTCAAAAAAATAACCCTAGTTAGGTTCGGAGTTGGAGTGGAGTGAATAAAACTAACCCTAATATGGTAAAAAGCAGTACCCGAACAGCTGGAGTGCGAATGGAGTCACTCGAAGTGTACGGAGTGAGCAAGCCGAACGCATCTCTCAATAACATAATTTTCGGTATTAGGTTCGGAAACCAGTCAGAAGAATCACAGATGTCGCTAGGTGTACGAAATAGTACTCCTAAACATTGTTTAAATGAATCCAATATATATAGAAATAATTAAGAACGATTAAATATGTTCTTGTGACATCTCAAATGTTACACCGTCTTGAGGATAAACAAAGCTTAATGACAGGATATTCTGCTACCGGAAATGGGGTCTACAAGAGTCTCTTCAGTCAATGTTTGTTATAAATCGTATTGCTTTTTTCTACAGAATAAACACTATGTTTAGAAGATATTGACTACTTGCACCCCAGAAGGGAATGCCATACCTGAGATGAGAATCAAACAGTGCAAATTAGTCCATTCGAGCTGTAGCCTGACCAAGCTCCCTCCCACATAACAAAATTGCATCCTTAGAATGTTAGAAGAATGTTCTTTTTTCAGGAGGAATGTGCCTAGAATGTTCGCCAAAACCATTGCGAATGTCCTGAGCATGTTCTGAGAAAATATTGTAGAAATACTGTTTGCAATACCCAAGAACTTCCTGGGAAATCCATTAGGATATTCCTAGAATATACCTATGAGATTCTCAGTACAACCTGAAAAGAATATTCTTGTTTGATTCTAAAAATATGCTCGAAATGTATATTCTCACATTCAAAGAATGTTTCTATGACATTATAGTTATGTTCTCAAAAGAATATTATACCAATATGCTTGAAATATTCTTAGAATATATCTACATAACATTCTTGTTTGATTCTAAGGATCTACTTGGACTGTTAATTTTCGCTTCCAAATAGTGCTCCTTTCAGCCCTTTTATATTTAAGGCAGTGAAAGAGTTGTTGGAAAACTTCTCTGGAAAACACAAGTGTTTAACCAAAGCTCCGGTTTCGAGCTTGTTATGCTCTCGTCGTGGTAAGCACGCCAACTGAGAGAAACAGGTTCCAAGGTGATTCTTCTAGGCAAGATGGAGATCTTTAATAGCGCGTGGCTCCCTCTCTTGGAAGTCCTACAAAGCAAAAGAAAAAGAACATACCTATAATATTCTAAGTAGGTTCTAGATAGAGCATTATTGATTAATTGTTCATTTAAGACTTTTGAGTAGGTACTTTAGATAATTAGGTTAACAATATGAAAATATTCTTATCATGGTTACCTACCTACATAAACTTCTCAGCACAATTTGGTAGGTATATTCTTAATACTTGATAGAGATATTAGCCGAAAGAACATTTTTTATGGTACATTATAATAATGTTCCTATGACAATATTCAAATAATGTTATATAAAGTAGGTTCTTAGCACAATCTTTCAGGTAGGTGCATAGAAGCAACATTCCTAGTACATAAATAGAACGTTCAAAAATGAATATTTCAATCGAAACAATCTTAGAATATTCATTAAACATTCCTAAAAGAACATTCTAAAAAGCACTTTGAGGGAATATTCTGAGAATATAAATGTTCTTTCACTGTTATGTGGGCTGTGTGCAATTTCAATTGCAAAGCATCCCGAAAATAGTTTTCTGCTAAGCTTAAGTGAAAAAAGTAACCATCGATAAATAAATCCAAAAATCTATAACTAGAGCTGGTCTTCGAGACGATTTCCGGAGTGTGAACCCGTCACATCCAAAACCAACTAATTTTATTACCATTAAAACAGGTTAGAATCAAACCACTGTTTGATTGCGATAAGGTCAGATGCAATGTCCTGCCTGAGTTGTTCCACGTTCTTATTGTGCCATACAACAGATGCTTCTATCTTTGAAGCTCTGAAAACCGAACAGCTTTGAAGTAATTATATTATTCACCTAGAGGTAATTTCACACCCTCGATTTTACAATATTTTCAACAATTTTTGGTCGATAGTTAGGTGGTTCGCGTTGATTGCCAACCTTATGCAAGGGAATCACTATTGCTGATTTTAAAAACGAAGAAAACACACCCCTTATCCATGAGTCATTTATTTCATCAGCAAAACCGTCCAAAGCACAATGAAATAACTTCAGAAGCACCTTAACGGAAAATCTGTCGCCACCTGGGGTTTCTTTTTTTTTTGATGTAACGAAAAACCTTTTTAACCTCATGAATATCCGTGGAACAAAAATAAAACGATCCTGAAAAAGATCAAGGAAGGTAAAAAATTGGTATGTCAAGACACCAGCCCTGGCACAATAAACATAGTAGAAATATGGCGGAATATTCCAAATAAATATCTCAGAAGTACAGAAGGAAGATTCAAGAGAAGTAACTGCAAACATAGACAAATGTATCATAAATAGATGGCTATAGTACCATAGGGATATGAAGCCGTCATCTTTAGTAGATATACTAAGACAGTCGCTAATAAGTCAGCCCGGAACTACTTTAGTGAAATTTGGAAAAGTTATTGTAGTATAACATACCCGGGTTCGTTCAGCAAGATTGAACGGTGTGAATTTTTATTACCTTTTAAACAACAAATCTTCTGAAAAACGAAATGAAAATCCAATAGGACCTACGTTGTGGAAACTTACCCAATTTTACTTACTGGACATGCGCCCGACATAGCAAATATTAGGGAAATTTAAGGCAGGTTGTGATATGTAAAAGAACCGGAAAATTTGTCAAACGTCTACTTTATTATTGAAGTAAGTCGTACCATTCTCGACCTGGAATACTCGAGGGGAAAGAGAACGGCAGAGAAACCCTCGATCGAACATTCCTCAGAAATCAAAACATACTGTGTCATTTTTAATAATAATTGTGAGTCATTAATCAATAATAAAAGTCTAAATTTGGTATCGTCCCTGTTCTTGTGCTAAAATTTTAATTCCACACACTAAATTCAATCAACACTACCTATATTCAATACTGAAGAGTTTTTTGTTAGTTAGCCAGTTTCCCAGCAGATACTGAGGTCCCATACGGGAAGCTACTCAGCTATAGTTGTTTTTGAGCCAATATCTCTAGATTGATTATTTCAATTTGTTTGCTAGGATATTCGCTCTTCAGGGTAGGAAAGTGTTAGTAAATTCAACAAGGCCCTAATGCACGTTCTGAATACCCAAAAATTAAAATCCCAGCACGAAAGACAGCACAAAATTTCTTAGGTTTTAATTTCCTCTTTATCTGCATTGTTTAACTTGTTCACATCAGCATGAAACGATTTTTGTTAAATACATGAACAATGCACATGCTATAAAAAATGTTATATACAAACATAAAAATGAAAAAAATAATACTTTATAAATTGAACTCTCGAAAACAAAATAACGTTTATTTAACTGACCTGAGATCGCTCCTTTTCACACAGAAACTAATCACTAATTGGATTGAACAATCAGTTTAATACAAAATAAAAATAAAAATTGAATAAATTCTCTAGTCTAGTCGCTTATTCTCTCTTCTCCTCTTCGGTTTCGATACTTTCGTTTTCTGTGGCGCGCCTTCAACCCTAAACTTGACGGCGCATACATGGTTGCAACATTTACTTTTTTTTTCTATAGTAGACGTTTTTTTTTAAAGTTAAGATTCAAAGAAATAATATTTTAAATAGGTGGTTTTCCTCAGTATTGATTGATTGAAAATCCAAGAACACATTTTCAGTTGCTTCCTTATGGCATTAGTACCAGATGCTTCCATTGTGAAACTCATCATTACCTATTAACCCTTAGAACGTCTTTAAAAAAAAATGACCTTGTGTCCGTTATTCCTTTCCCGACCTTTCCAATACCAATAAGGCCTCACGGTTAAAAATATAAAATGGCCAGAAAAGTGAAAAATCGATGCGCTATCGTGCATTTTACACGTTGGTGCACGCCATGCCAGCGACAGTGCAAGGGCTCGGACGAGCCTTGACATACTTAAAATGTTATTAAGGTTATGAATAGGGCCGGTGAAAAGGTATTCAAGGTACATTAGACTTCATGCTGCTTTTATTTTTACTGCCCCTCGTGGCTGAATTTTAATTGAAAAGTTTAACAGTAGAGTATACGGATAAAAACTTCATAATTTTGAAAATCTCAAATACATTATTTGCATAATAAATTTTGCAACTTAAATGTGCTGTCTCAGTTTGTTATTTTTTCCATTTTCACAAACCTTCCAAGTTTAAAGTTCATTAAAATCGAATCAATAAATCTTTTATTGAAAAATTATGGAAATAGCACAATATTCAACTGACATTGGCCTTAATAGTCAGCTACAACATGACAATTGCAGCTTAGCGTGGCTGAGAATAATAAATACTTTCCACGGGGTAGAAACTTGTTTATTAAGGAGCGCATTTAGGGAAATTGATTTTTATATAAATACAAATTGTACACTGGAAATAATTAATAATTAATTGAATAATTAGTAGCTTAGTAGCAAGAACTTTAATGTGAAGTAGGTGATAATGAATTTTTGCTTTGGCTTAGAAACTAACTCTGGAAAACAGCGAAATACATTTCCGCCCAAAACATTTTCGACCCACCACCATAGGATTCATGGAAGGTCAGCCTAACTTAATCCTCATGCTAAGTTTGTTCTTATCGATCTAAAATTGCAAGATATCTGAGAACCTGGAAAATCTGATTTTTCTATCGGTATTCATTATCCTAACCTCATTCGTTGGTATTCTGCCTGGAAAGCAATACCTTCTAACAGACTTTGACCCATATCTAAATGATAAGCACTCCAACTTCTTTATTTCAGATGAATTACGAATAGTGAAAGATGGAAAATACGGTACTGAAAACAATGAAGTGAAAGGTGGCTGGGATGGTATGGTCGGAGAACTTGTTAGAAATGTACGTATGCTTATTTATTTAAAAAAAAATCGCAAACATTTCAATTTCAGGAAGCTGATTTGGCAATAGCTCCAATCACCATAACATCAGAAAGAGAGCGTGTGATAGATTTCAGTAAGCCCTTCATGTCACTAGGAATATCTATAATGATAAAGAAACCCATGAAGCAAAAACCAGGCGTTTTCAGCTTCCTTAATCCTTTGTCCCAGGAAATATGGGTAACAATTTCAAATCTTCTAACAATGACTTTTTCAAAAAAATAAATTGTTTTCAGATTAGTGTCTTATTTGCCTTTGTGGGTGTCAGCATAGTCTTGTTCATCGTGTCCAGGTTTTCTCCTTACGAATGGCGAATACTTCATCCCACTGATGAACCTATGAGACATCCTCCACATTTACACACTAACAGTGGAGGGACAATGGCGAACGACTTTAGTTTATTGAATTCTTTGTGGTTCTCTTTGGCTGCTTTTATGCAACAAGGTAAGAAAACTTTGGATTTTCTCACAATCCATATCAGATTTATACTAATTTTTCCTAGGTGGTGACATATCGCCAAGATCAATCTCAGGTCGTATTGTGGGAGCCTGTTGGTGGTTCTTTACTCTGATAATAATTTCGAGTTACACTGCAAATTTGGCAGCATTTTTGACAGTCGAAAGAATGGTGGTGCCTATTAATTCACCAGAAGATTTGGCTTCACAGACTGAAGTGGAATATGGTACTTTGTATCATGGTGCTACGTGGGACTTTTTCAGAGTAAGTAATCTCGTTTTGGCTTTCTTTTTAAACTAACTTTATATCTTATTAGAGATCTCAAATTACTTTACACTCGAGAATGTGGGAATTTATGAATTCCAGGAAACACGTTTTTGTTAAAACTTATGACGAAGGTATTCGGAGAGTAAGACAATCTAAAGGTAATTTGTTTGGCTAAGTTTTAATTCATTTATAACTTGGTTATTTTGTTTTGTTGTAGGGAAATATGCATTGCTAATAGAAACGCCCAAAAATGATTACATAAATGAACGAGATCCATGTGACACAATGAAAGTAGGAAGGAATTTTGATTCAAAAGGATTTGGTGTTGCTACACCATTAGGATCACCATTAAGGTGAGAGAATTATTAGGGTGAACAGTTTATCATAAATTTCTAATTAACCCTTTAACCCCTGGTGAAGTATAGAACCTCCAGACAGTATTATTGACATGACATTAAAAGTGAAAGCATATAGAGAGGGTGTCTCAGTATGGTGTCTCAACAAGAACTTGAATTTTTAATCGCGCGCAATATACGCTTGACAGACAGAAATGGCGCGCGATTTAAAATTCAAGTTCTTGTTGAGACACCCGTTATAAAAGAAAACTCCTCGAGATGAGAAGAATAATTTAATAGGTACTTCAAAAACATGAATATTCAAGATGCGGTTGTAACATGGTAATAATTAGAAAATATCGTCATTATTCTGACTGTTATTTTCACGCTCCATGTTCAAGACGATATCTAGCAGTCCTTCAACTAAAAAATCGACCAAAGCTATCAAAAATTAATTAACTGCATTTGCATTATTGCTCTCGTCATCTATTGAAGGAGAAATTGAACAAATTTAAATTGAGCTGTCAATTATTTTTAATGATACTGAAATGGTCTCTTGGAATAAATGATAAGCATTCTATAATTAACATTGAAAATTGATGTGCATTTGTTGTTTCCAGGGATGCCGTCAATTTGGCTGTTCTAAGCTTAAAGGAAGATGGAGAACTTACCAAGCTAAAGAATAAATGGTGGTATGACAGAACAGAGTGTCCTAAGGATAAACAGGTATTAGTTTTATTTCATCTAAGTAGGCGGTTTATGAGAAAGAAGCTTATTACATCATTTTGGGTACCCACCTAATTAATAAAATAACGCGATGAGATCACATATCACACACATAAACTCTCTTTTGATGGGGGACAAACAAGGCATTTAAGGACTATTTACACACATCAGTTAGGCGCTAGCTATTACGTCCTAATTCACATAACGTCACTTTCGATAGGAGGACAAACATGTCATTGGGACAAACAAACGATACCGAACTGACGTGTGTAAATAATCCTTAAACGCTTTATTTGTCCTTCCGAAAGTGAAGTTATGCGTGTGACTTCAGCTAGTGCAATGTCGTTGACCCTGAACAAACCACTTTTTAAGTGGAAGCCCTGCGCGACCGGATTGTTATGGGCATCCGAGATAATACAACTAGAAAAGCACTTCTGAGATTTGATGATCTTACTCTAGAAAAAGCAATCACATTCTCTAGGACCTGTGAGCAAAGCAAGTCACAAAGTTTATAGTCTTAGGAGTTGGAAATCTCGGTAGAAAGTAGGCATAAAATTTTTGAGAAAAGTTCCCATGAAAGTAAATGTTAGGATAAGAAAGACCGAGATAAAACAAGTACCGAGGAAAAGACATTCAAGTCTAAAAGGTGTCAACCGCAGCATCATTCTGCAGTATCATGCCCTGTCAAAAGTGTAACAGGCAAGTGAATTATAGCGAGTGAGGTTCTAGCCACAGTGAAAGTGATGATGAGTTTTTTATCAATCCTGTGACAAAATGAATCAAAATTCCCGACGCAGCCAATTGGTAAATATCTTTGAGGAAGATTTCAGGATTGAAGCTAAAAAATGTAAGGTACTTACGTCTAGACATAGTTGCTGATATGTGTTATTCCGCCACAAATTTTTAGTAAACTGGACACATAATTATGCCTTAGACCTTCACCTACTCAGTATATTCTATTAGGTTTTGAAGGTTCTCACGCAAAACCCATTGATATTGTGAATTAATATTGTATATTTAAAGGTAGGGAATTATGAAGATTTTGTTATTGCAGATGGAGTAAGACAAGTTCTTTTACGGGGCCAGGTATGTGCTAATTTAAATTTGGGGAGTTTCCGGGCAACAATATCTCAACGAAACTGGAAATTTAAAAATGTTTGTCGCCCTCCCACCAAAATCCCAATTGCGATTCGAGATCAGTTTAAAAAAGAGTTAGACCGATTAGTTGAAAGAGAAGCGATAGTAAAATTTGATGAGATTAAACCTGGCAATGGTTCTTGTTGAGAAAAGTAATGGAAAAATCGGACGATATAAAATCCCAAATTGTGAGAAAATCAAAGTTAGGTATAAATCTCCAAGAAATAGTCTCAAATTTAGAGGACAAAAATGTTCCCACAGTGTTTGACTTTGCAGAAAGTTAAATGAACAAAGTTATTGGAAGTGTGCTTTGCAATTCTCTATAGGTTTACAGTTTTATCATATGGTTTGTCAAATTCACAAGATCGATTCCAAAACGAAGTTAAGAAACATTTTTCTGGTATAACCAATGTCACAATTTCTCATGATGACATGGTTGTTGCTGGTAAAACGCAACAAGAGCATGATGAGGCAGTGGAAAAGGATTGCTTTGGAAAGATCACAATGCAAAAAAAATGCCTATCCAAGTGTGTTATTATGTGAGTCTTCAAATCGGATTTTTTTTTTGAATTTTGCTTTGCAAATATTACATACGAAAGGATGAATATCTTAGTGTGTTAACATATGATCCTTTAAATCGTATTTTCTTTTGAATTTTGATTTACAAGTGTTACATGCAAAAGGATAATTCTCTAAGTGTGTTAACATGTGATTCTTTAAATTGGATTTTTGCTTAAATTTTGCTTTGCAAGTATTACATGCCAAAGGATAAATATCTGAGTGTGTTAGCATGTGATCCTTTAAATTGAATTTTCGTTTAAATTTTGCTTTGCAAGTGTCACATTCAAGAGAATAAATATCCGAATGTGTTAGTTTGTGACTCTTCAAATCGAATTTTCGGGGATAATACCACGAGAGCTTCAAAATTATCTGGTACTTTTTCAAGCTCGAGTGGTATTTAGAGGATTATTCCTCGAATGAAAATCCGAAAAATATGCAAATAAATATTTAAAAACGATTTGAACAACTTAACAATCAATAAAAATAAATGATTCCTAACAGCAGCCGTTTGTTCGTATCAAAAATTAGCATGACAACCATGAATTCAATAACATGGGAGAATTATGGCTGTAATTCTCTCTAGTTAAACTAATGGACAATAGAATTTTCGCTGTAATTTTGAAAATTGTCACTTGTCTTATGGGGTTTTTAACACATGAGTGGAATAATCGGGGATAATACCACGAGAGCTTCAAAATTACCGATAATTTTTCACGATTGCATGTTTTCTATAATTTCACGAGTCCGTAGGACGAGCGAAATTTGCAGACTATTAGAGGATTATTTCACGTATGAAAATGCAAAAAATATGGAAATAAAAATGTATTGAACGATTTTAACATCTTAACAATCAATACAAATAAATAGTTGCTATAAGGAACCGTTTGTTTGTATGAAAAATTAGCATGACAACCATGTATATAATAACATGGGAGAATTATCGCTGTAATTCTCTCTAGTTAAACAAATGGAAAAGAGAATTTTCGCTGTAATTCTGAAAATCGTCACTTGTCTTATGGGATTTCTAACGCATGAGTGGAATAATCGTTTAAATTTTGCTTTGCGAGTATTACATGCGAAAGGATAAATATCTGAGTGTGTTAACATGACGTGATCCTTTAAATCGTATTTTCTTTTGAATTTTGATTTACAAGTATTACATGCGAAAGGATAAATCTCTGAGTGTATTAACATGTGATCTTTTAAATTGCATTTTCGTTAAAATTTTGCTTTGCAAGTATTAAGTGTTACATGCAAAAGGATAATTCTCTAAGTGTGTTAACATGTGATTCTTTAAATTGGATTTTTGTTTAAATTTTGCTTTGCAAGTATTACATGCCAAAGGATAAATATCTGAGTGTGTTAACATGTGATCCTTTAAATTGAATTTTCGTTTGAATTTTGCTTTGCAAGTGTCACATTCAAAAGGATAAATATCCGAATGTGTTAGTTTGTGACTCTTCAAATCGAATTTTCGTTTAAATTTTGCTTTGCGAGTATTACATGCGAAAGGATAAATATCTGAGTGTGTTAACATGACGTGATCTTTTAAATCGGATTTTCTTTTGAATTTTGCTTTGCAAGTATTACATGCGAAAGGATAAATATCTGAGCGTGTTAACATGTGATCCTTTAAATCGAATTTTCATTCAAATTTTGCTTTGCAAGTGTCACATTCAAAAGGATAAATATCCGAATGTGTTAGTTTGTGACTCTTCAAATCGAATTTTCGTTTAAATTTTGCTTTGCAAGTATTACATACGAAAGGATAAACATCTGAGTTTGTTAACATGCTGTGCTCCTTCAAATTGAATTTTCGTTTAAATTTTGCTTTGCAAGTGTCACATTGAAACGGATAAATATCCAAATGTTTCAATGAATGATTTATTAACCCACCCTAGGTTTTGAATTTAGCTTTGCATGTATCAGATTCAAAAAGAAGAATACCCAAATGTGTCATTGAATGATATTTCAAGCTTGTTTCGGTTTTAAATACAGCATTGCAAGTATAGCATTGAAACTTCCTAATAACATCTGGTCCTGATGAATTTTCGACACTTGAATATTCCTCTCCCTTAGCAAAAATTTAGCTTCACTTGTCCTATGAAATATTTTACATTTTTTGTGGAAGAAAATTTACCCAGTATAAAATTTCCCACTTCAATCTTTTCGTCTAGGAGGTCCTCTACCATTTCCTCTTCTTTTTTTTTCCGCCAAATTTCTTAAATAAGCTTCAATGACTTCGTCTGATTCATCATGGAACTGGTGTTGGATTCGTTATTTTTCTTCTGTTTTTAATTTTCTTATACATTTGATTCCATCTTAAGCACGTTCTCTTTTCTTTGTAACTTGACATCTTTTTTCTTGACGGGTATGTAAAAATTTTGGTGATGTTATCATAGCTCCACTCGATGTTTCTCTTCTAGCCGACTCTTAAGAGCGAAATTTTATGTTTCAAAAGCTCTTCAAAATTTATAGAAGAGGAAGTTGCCTCACTTATGACATTAATAGGATCAGGTAGGACATGCACACTATTATCACTGGTGTTTGGTAGAGATGTGAGGGGGCGCCTACAGCTGCTTGGTCCTGCTACAGCATCTGACGTAGCTATGTTTCCTGATACATGTAGGTAAATCTAATTTTACGAATACTGTTTGATTTTTATGTCTAAATCACGGAAATCAACTTGGCCGACAAAAATAATGGCAAATTGGGGGAGTCCGATACCCCTAAAATGTTTGCGAGTCGCCTGCGCGCATATGTGCCATTTCCGAGAAAAGTCGTAGAGGAAAAGTTGTAGGACTTGATGTAAGCAAGCCACTCACAAAGTATGGGGTTTACATGTATAACTGAAAAAAAAGGTCCTTGGATGATTGACTATCTGGTTTGATAACCTGGATATTAGCTCTGTGTTTTCCTGGGTTTTTGACATTTGATATAAATCTCCATGCCTTTGAGCATTTTCTGCCTCCTATGTACGGAATAATTTCTTCACATTTCTCATCCCATGACTCGTTCTTAGCTATAGTGATGCACATTCTCAGTTGTCTTTTTGTGTCTTTATAAACTTCAAGATCTTGTTAATTTTTTGTTGTTAGCCATTTCAGGTATTTTTGCTTCTTCTCTTGGACTAATAGCTCTATCTCCTCGTTACACCAGTATTTCTTGTTGGTCTTTTTTTACTTTGTTCCTATTGCTTCTTGGGTCTCTCAGCTCATAGAGTTTGTTGAAGGTACATTCTTCAGGGTTCAATATTTTGCTATCGATATAGAAATACAGTGCTCTCATGCCTATCATTTCCA